ACATAAACAATATCTAAATATGCTTATATCATGTGCATTGTTGGTAATTTTCACTGGAAATGTTGCTAAAGTAAAAATCGTTTTTTGCTGATATGTTATTCACATACCGATTGGTATTGATACTTACCAGAAAAGTAGAAAATATCAATGAATTTTTATAATCCGACTGCAAATATTCCTGAATATTGACTAACTTGACTGCTGATCTAGAACTGTTTATGTATATGGTCCACCAGTATTCAATTCGGTTGTGTTTTATACTCATTCGCAATCCATTAAATCTCTTTTAGAAATTTTGCAAAACGCTTTACAGTATATGACATTGTGTGATTGTTTTGATAACAGGGATGTTGCTGCGGTTGCAAAACGCTTTACAGTATATGACATTGTGTGTTTGTTTTGATATCAGGGATGTTGCTGCGGGTCTCGAGTATTTAGAAGCTAAAAACCTTGTTCACAGGTAATACTAGCAGTTAACATGTACTTACTGAATGAGTGGGAGGGCCGTACTCTGTATCAGGATATCTGTTTACCATTTCGAGTTTTGGAAAGCAAAGGTATCCCAAACAGCTGAGCAATATTACTAAAAAAACTAGACGCTATCAGAGCTCTTACTCGGATTGCAACATAGAGCTGTCACGTGATGAACGACGTCACATTTCGTGATTTAAGATGTCACATTGGCAAAGTTGGCTTTAGTTTGTTTTTTCCAGGTTTGATTTGCATTACGAAAAGAAATTAATAGAAGTTGGATCACATTTTTCCACGGTCACGTGATATGTGACGTCACATTTTGTTATTAACAGGTCACTTTCTTGGTGATACCACGGATTTCATCTTCTCATCTTATCGTGCGCTCGCTCGTRAGAGATCGTTTCAACGCTTGTGAAGATGAAATCTTTATCTCTTCGAATGTGAATACACTTTTTGATTCAGTACGCAACAATCTTGTTTTTGTGTGTCTATATGATCAGTGCACTTTTTAGAATTTGCTTATAGGTTTGATTGTAGTTAATAATGATGTTAATATTTCTTGATGTAGAGATGTAGCAGCAAGGAATGTCTTAATAGATGATAATGCATCAGCCAAGGTAAATTCAAACAGCCATATAATCTTTCTCCACGTATACTTCAGTGAATATTTGTTATTTTATTGTTAGTTGTCAGATTTCGGATTAGCTAGAGAGGCTAATTTTAACCTCGAAGGAGGCAAGTTTCCGATCAAGTGGACAGCACCAGAAGCGTTAAAAGAGCAGGTTAGATTCCTAGTGTGGCTGATGCTCAAACGTATTTCTTCCGGGATTATTTCTTTYTACATACTAGAAGTTTTCTACAGAATATCTGATATTTGTTTTTGAAATGTTGTGAGGGGTGAGAAACGGATGTACACAGGCTACTTTGTGCCTCTTTTATTAGGAATGATTAATTCATCGTCATTAATTATTTATATATTTATTATTATTTATAATTAGGATATTTATATTGTAAATGTATATCGGCTTGATGCGAAAGCGTTGGTGATCAATAAACGTAGATTGTAGATGTAGATTCTCAGTTCATAAATAAGCGTGAAACCCTCCTTGAAATCCCAACGGTACGAATAGTCTCCTTCACGGTATAAATAAGCGTGAAACCCTCCTTGAAATCCCAACGGTACGAATAGTCTCCTTCACGGTTATCTGCGCCATCTTGAAAGGTAGCCATGCCTTTGCATCGAAGCGAGACGACCGTAGAGCATGCAATACAGACAATGATTCACAGGTATCTATCATTGCACGCTCAACGGTCGTCTCGCTTCGATGTAAAGGCACGGCTACCTTTCAAGATGGCGCAGGTATCCGTGAAGGAGACTATTGTGCATTTAATGCCAAATGGACATGATTCGTTCCCAGGCCCTTATCCTCTCGTTTAKGGTAGTTTGAATAGATTTGTGTCATAGTTTTGTTGTAAACACTACTATATGTCTGTTGTCATTTCATTTTACCTCTTGTGCCCTTTCCTTTATTAGATAACGCACAGATCAACGACGGAATACCCATTTATGCTATTAYTTTCATTATAGAAATTTTCTACCAAGTCAGACGTCTGGAGTTATGGAATATTTCTATGGGAATTATTTTCATTTGGTCGAGTACCCTACCCTAGAGTGGTAAGGATTTTGTTATCTATAGATGTAATAAAGCGGTTTACATAGGTTTTTATGCTAGTACAAGGATTTGCATTGAAAGTGCCGCTAAATAGTAAATAGATTGTTGATTTATCGATTTACCTGTCGCCGCGATCTATCGCTCTATATCAGCGGATACGTGCATGCGTGTTYAAAATGGCCACCGGTAAGGTTAGTTTTCATAAAACTGTAGCCTGCGTTTCTCCATCGATAGTTTCAACCTTATTGCGCAATAACCGCATTTGGGCTTCCTTTAATTAATATTCATTTTTTACCCTGCATTAGGCACGAGTCTGAATGCATACTCAGCTTCGTTTGCTCTACTTCAAAAAAAACTTCTTTTTTTTCAGCCCTTGTCAGATGTAATGGCTAAAGTGGAGAAGGGATATCGAATGGAAATCCCAGAAGGATGCCCTCCTGATGTATATAATGTAATGCGAGAATGCTGGCACATAAATCCTTCCAATCGACCGTCGTTTGGAGAAATTCGCCGAAAACAAGAGAATATTTACACGGGATTCCTGTAACGGGCACTGTTGGCACTTATTAATTGATACAGATAATCATCGTCACACATTAACTTGTAAAAAAGTCAAAACTGAGGTAAATGATATTTATTGAAGTGACAATATTTGACAAGTAACGAGAATGTGATTATAACAGTAGATATAGTCCTAACTCTGAATCACGTTTTGAAAGTCGAAGTCACTTATTTTCTACAAAGGTGATGYTTYCACGTGAATTATCCCCGTTAACTCTGTTACTTGRACMGATATTGAYACKCGATAAATACACAAAGACTGATCTCCATGACAACGCATATGAGTTGTTCAKTTAGGTTCGTGAGTAGGTAAATTTCGAGTATCTGCTCCAGTTGTAACCTATAAGGCCGTTTGTTTGTGATTCTATCGTGTTAAAATACTGACCAGGAGAAGTGTTGTGCTTCTTTAACTGCAATATTCTTTGTCATTCGGGTTCTTATGAAAAACAACTATTAAATATACGCCATTAAGGTGTATYGTTTTTCACTACACTTTTCATATTCATTTAACTGATTTATAACCTTACTTGATTTTGGAGTTATAGAGAAAGGATAGCCTTACCATGGCAACGACTAAAGGTTTTGATTTGTTAACCGAATATTCTTTGATATCATGGAACCTAAACAAGCTGTAAATGAAATCATTAATTCCAGAGTACTATAAAACGACAACAACTASTTTTAAKGAAAATCAATCTGTTTGATTTCAAATGTTGTTCCCAAGTTGCGATTTTTGCAAATTACTCAAATCCATAAATTCAGTAAATTTTTGAAATCGTGTTTTTTTCTTTTAATTCCTTTGAATTGATGATTTCATTTGTCGCTATTTTGATGCCATGATTTTTTTAAATAATATTCAAAACAAAATATTTCCAACTAAAATATTTGTCATTGCTATGATCATTGCATTGTTTTTTGTCTATAACTGATTGAATAATCAWGTACGTAGATATAATAGGTTATGGCTATAAATATAAGTCAAATGAAACTGGGACCCACCCCTTCAATACATTACAGACGTTTCAGATGTTTGCCCTCACAACGTGAACAGTAAAACTTCTATTAAGCAGTTACTTCAGGGAAACACCATGTAGATGACCGCTTAATAGAGGCTGTCCGCTCAATAGAGGTTGAAGGTTTTATAGAGGTTACGTTTATAGTAAATAAATATGAGAAGTAACTTTCGGAAAATTCATGAATGACCGTTAAATGGTGGGTGAACGCYAATGGTGCGCTGATTAATAGACGTTCTTCATTACGATGTGCCGAAAATCTTTCTTAGCAAGGAAAGCAAGCTAACGATATGAATACCCGCGTCGAGATAATATCAAAAACAAAAAGCATTATTTCCGATTTACCGTAATCATTTGATCACGATGCACCTATCGATATTGAGTGCTTCAGTAACAGCCTGAAGTTCCGTACACRCGYAACTCCGACGCAGCTCACACTAGTTTACCGCTAGTTTCCGCCGTCTCTTAAATGTCGCGAGCACACTGCATATTGTAGGTTGTTAATAGTACATTGTGATTTTATAGTTTGAAATTCTTGTTCAAGAGTTAAAACATATGTGACTAAATGCCATCTTCTTGAATTCTGGGGCTGTATCCTAGACTCCATGTAATACGTGGGTCACCTAAAGTAGCGGTATGCTTAAACTATATGTAACTGTTAATTTCATTGTGAGGACATTCAACGCCTCAAACATCCTCGAAAGGTGATGAATATAAAAAACGCATGCAACCAGCCACTAGTAATAAGTCTAATGTGTATTTCACAAGTTTACTAGCTTCACTCTTCATCTCAACTGCACTAATCAGAAATGCAAGGGAGTAAAAACTTTGATAACTTGTCAAGTATAAAGATGCGTKACAGCAAACGTTCGAATACCTTCAACATTTGTACATTATGCTTGCAAGGCGGTCGTGCTCTAGCGTAGAGTTAGTAGGTCATTTGAGCTTAACTTTGCAACCATTACAAGAAAGATATGCGTATTTTCATTTTTATTCAGTCATARACTAGTAAAACAATAGATCTCTGAAGCTCTTCTACTTGATTTGCAAAGCATTGTGGGATCAGTTTCTGGAGAAAACAAGTGAAATCCGTCGTGTTTTCCAAACRTATCCTGCAATACATTACGTATACGGTATATGACGTAAAAGCTTCAGAGGTCTATCTTGACTAACGGAATTACAAAAGAAAGTGGGCAATGAATTGTGGTATATCATGCAAATCGCCTATTACCGAGAACGAAGGCTATGGTATTAAAGCCATCAGAGAGGCTGTAGTCACGACAAATGTATATGGTTTATTTACGAAGTCCAAAATATTTTATTATGTCGTTGAAAGCACAGAGCCCATTAACAATTAAACAACTCGGTCTCGTGGACTAATTACCAATTAAACCTCGAGGGCAGTGGAGTACGAGCTGATAGCTCAAGAGGCCGAAGGCCAAATTGGCTATCAGTTCGTACCCCACGAGGCCGATAGGTCCAACTGTTTTAGTCTAACCATACTAGTTGGACAAAAAAATGAATGAAATATATATAAATGACAAATTTTTTTATTGCTGAAGATTCGCGCTTACGGCTTCAATTAAATTTGCATAAATTATCGCCGACGTCGTTTGACACGCTTGGCAYGTTTGACAAGTGAAAATTAATTTACTATACGCTGGTAAAAGCTGGTTTAAGTGAACAAACTTAAAATGGTCCTTTACGCTTCGATTTGACCTACAATATTTCTAATTCACYAGTCGAGGACTATTGAAAATAGACCCCGAGTAGCGTAGCCAATCAGAACGAAGGATTTTCAATAGTCCACTARTATGGTAATACTAAAATTTGATAGTGTCTTCGGCTGAGTACAGTCTCCTGGGATCTCAACTCTTAGTCTTCTTGACTTTGTAGTCTAATTTATAACTAGTGCATGAACGACTGATATGATAATTTTCATGAAGTATTAATGTTTGATATTTATTCTGATGGTTGTCACTCCAGTGCTTATGCAGAGCGCGGCCGCCACCGACTGGGACCCACGTATGATCGTTGGTATCATGTGTTTTAACATTTATCAGGGGCCAACTCTTAAAGGGACACTGTCAATGGATGACATGCGCAGTAACAGTCTTACCCCTAACGGACTTTGAAAGTATTACCTTCGAGGTAAATCATTTTGTGGTGCTTTTGACACACTTTGGAATATTCTAGATCTGTTAWCGTTTACGAGCTGATTTATGTCGCGCCAACTTGGAGTCATAAACTTGAAAACACTAGCCTAGTGTTTTCAAGTTTACTCTCGCATGCGTTCCATTGACAGTGTCCCTTTAATAGTTGAGCTTAGGAAATATTACATGGGCCTCGTCTAGGAGTGACAGGATGTCCATGATAGGGTTAGGTTAGGTCTAGATTGGGTTTCCTGTGTTCATAGAAGAAAGGAAAGCATTAACTCTCCTAAAGCTTTACTGATGTACTTTTCTGAAAAAGGACTGAAYATTTTCAAACATTGGAAATTAGATAGGTAATTTTCACTTTCATTTTACATTTWATATCGTGGATTTATCGATTTCGCCTTTGCGGACCAGATGCACAGGAGACCCCGTACCGACCTACTATATAGTACGATATAGTTGATAAATGTGTAGCCTCTGTGAACATCAAGAATTGTATTTTCTTATATCTWGTAGGATGTTCTTTGCTATACTGTCACTCTCTAGGTTAAGCAAAATTAATGTCTTTATTTTTGATGGAATAAAATTTCAAATGTATGTATRCTTGATGACGTCTAGCTGCTTTTTTTGGAACACGACTGGTGTGACCACTGTTATCGTCATAGCAACAAAAATATAATCATGCAGCTTGAAAACTGCGCAGCTGTATTTTGAAAAATAAGGGAGCMTACACATTCACACCGAACAAACGAGAGAGTTTTTGAATCATAAATTACGAAATGAAGTACACATTTTTGACAAGGTGAGAGAAGGTTAAGTTCTACAAAACAAACATGGCGTCTCGAAACAAGCAAAGAACAGTAATATTTGCTCAAACTTTTAAATTTTGAATGAGTTTTATGAGTTTTTTAAAACGGCGAATACCGGTAATCGACGAGATCTCCTGCTTACATCCATTCCATGATCATCAGTGAAGCGCTGGACTTGCACGTGTGACGCACATTTTAAATGTACGTGTGTAAGGTTAAATAGAGTAAACCCACTTGAAGAGAAAAGGCTTTTCATCGACAAAAATTTTCAGAACCCCACTTTATAGCATGCGGGACCCCCTTTCCCATTGATGGGAACAATTCAGGACCTCCTCAACAAAAATTATTCAAATTTTGGAAAATTATTTGTTTTAATTTTTCAACTATGACTAATAAGCAACACTAAGGAGAACTCTTAGAATAGGCGTAAACAATTTTAATTTCGCACGTGTTTCGTCTCTTAACGTAGACCTCTTCAGGGAATAATTTTGCACAACTATAGACCAGGTTGAGGACACTGATGAGTTTATATACTTAGCAGCAACGGTAGACAAAGAAGGATGTGGAGATAAGGACATTGCCAACCGAATTCAGAAAGGTGTGTTTTTAAAMAGGTTTAGGGAGGGTCTGGTTCGTGAGAGAAGGAAGACGAAACKAAAAAAGTTTGGCTCGCTAGTTGAACCTTTTTTGTCTGCGAAACTTATGGAAATTGACCAAAGAAGATGAGAAAAACTGGATACCTTTCGATAAGTAAATGTCTTAGATCTATCCTGAGGATTAAATCATGTTAAATGGTGGGAGAAAATTTCAAACTATGATTTTAAACATTCAAGACTCCCCTACTTTTCAACRGAATTATTCAGGGACCCCCAATTTCTCCTCCCGAATTTTAAAATGACTGGTTAGTTAGCTAAACCTGATGAGTCTCGGTGGGTGAGGTACCTATGAATGGCTCATGAATAACATGAGTGCAAATTAGTTTTTAAATTTTCCTCGTTAATTATTGATGATGATACCCTGGTCCCAGAGGTTTTCTTCTCTCTTCTTTTCTAGATGTTTTTTATCGTATTTTTGTCTTTGTTTTTTATATATAAAAAACAAAGACAAAAATACGATAAAAAACATCTAGAAAAGAAGAGAAAAGAAAACCTCTGGGACCAGGGTATGATGATGAAGGAAATTTTATTTTCTAAATGGCCCTAATAAATAATTGATTTAACCTTGCTATTTTATTTTTATTTCGAAGCATTGCATAAAGTGCAGGTGTGATAAATCATTCATATAGGGCCGATTATTGCAGCTAGTGTTCCGTTAGTGTAAGCAGTTATAGAACGGCAGTTTAACAAACATGAGTGTTGTTGTCATATTACGGTTAAAACACTCATGTTAATTAAACCGCTGTGTCTATATGGCCGGTTACCGGTCAAGGTCTTGAAAATGCTAAATGGCCGGCAGCCCATAAAATGTGTTTTTTCACTCTCTTATTATCTAAACGAGCTTCCAAACTCCAAAATAAAACTCTACGAGTAAAATGAGTGTGTTAAAACTTACATAAACGTCGCGCCGAAATTCGTTGCACTTAGAGACATTGTGCGAACTTGAACCGACTGCCGGCCACGCAACAACGAAATCCTAAATGGCCGGCAGCCCATAAAATAACAGATTTCTCTTTTATTATTCTTATTTAAAGAGTTAAAATAACATAATCAACATTTCTGAAACTTTCATGGTACTGTATAGACATTTTTCTATTCGTGAAAAATCTCAACCAACACGGCGGACTGCCGGTCACGCAACATCAAAATCCTAAATGACCGGCAGCTCACAAAATAACAGATTTGTCTTTTACTATCTCTATTTAAAAAGTTAAAACAACATAATCGACATTTCTGAAACTTTCATGGTACTGTAGAGACATTTCTTTATTCGAGAAAAATCTCAACCAACTGACGGCGGACTGCCGGTCACACAACATCAAAATCCTAAATGACCGGCAGCTCATAATTAACAGATTTTTCTTTCCATGCATCTTTTATTATTCAAATTTAAGAGTTAAAGGATTACTGCCAGTTCCAACTGTAAGTACATTACTCTATCCGAGAAAAATCTGCATTCTTTACTAGGATTACAGTTCATGTTCAGATGGTTATGCTGGGTGGCAGATAGCTCACATGATATAATGTTGTATTAAAATGATATATG